GGGACCGAGCTTTTTCTGTGATAGCTCCCAGGCTCTGGAATGACCTTCCATTGAACATAAGACAGGCCTCTTCAATTGAGGTTTTTAAGTCCCTTCTTAAAACTCATCTTTTTTCTTTGGCCTTTTAGCACAATCTGAGATGTTTTACCTTGTTTTATTGTGTTTGTATTTTATTTTATTATTTTATTCCTGTTTTAAATTTTACCCTTCCATTTTATCATTGTATTGTATTATATAATTGTGTAAAGCACTTTGGTCCTGTTGGGTGCATAAAGTGCTCTATAAATAAAGTTGGTATGGTATGATATGGTATATATATATATATGTATATATATGGTAAACAAACTGTACTTATGCAGCATCTTTCTATCTAATCAAGATTTTCTGTCCTCCAGACATGAAACCAGAGGGCCCAGAGTTGAGTCCTTTTTCTTTAGTGGGACATATATCTGTGTATCATCTGCGTAACAATGTCTCACATGAAGCCCTCTATTATTCTGAGCCTCATGCTTAAAATACATGTTGACAAACACAAAGTCCTGCAATTAAAAAGCTGCCTCTGAGACTCAGACACGACTGCTGACAGTTTTTTTGTTCCGGCCACATTAAACGTTGTAATTACGTCGTGGTGATCGAAGCTTCTCTGTGCGGCGCTGTCAGGCCAGCACAGAAATAACTTGTGTCCTCACAGAGGAACCCCCCTTCATGACGAAGAAGCAGCTGTGGGGCAGAACGCCTCAGAGCAGCCAGCGTTCTGCATGTTGCTCTACGTGTTGGACACGTTGGTTAAAGAGGCTCATTACATGATCGTTGAACATTAAAGAAGAAGCTCAGATGTTCTGCAGTGGGGATCTGTAGAGGTTCTGAACAATTATCTTACATGCTGTAAAAACCCACAAAGTATTTTCTGGTTGGAAAAATGTCTAAATACCTCTTTGAACAATCTGGTTGAGATGGGATCTAGCAGAAATGTTGATGGTTTGGATGAAGCTATTATTTTTGACATTCAGAGCTCAACAGGACAAAAACAGTCCGAACATAAATCAGGTTCTAGTGACAGTTCTACTTTATTTTATTAAGAAACAGAGGCAGAAGAAGAGCGGAACGAGTGATTTTTGTCTCTAATTGAAACGATTTTATTAATAAGAATGCTCATGCAGTCTCACTACTTACTGATACATGGCTCAGCAGAGGTACTCGTGTACTTCTATAACTAACAAGGGGATTTCATCCAATTTAAGATGGCCGCCACAGCTAACCAACATTAGCAACACACAGTGGATAACTCGTTTTTACACATATTGAATTAGAACTTGATGTGGCAGTAGCTGAGAGTCATCCCCAACACAGACACTGCGTGTAGCGTCTCATGATAAAACATAAAATCCAGATGTTCAAGGTTTGACCAGAACAGCTAGAACTGGAGGTCACTTTGAGGAGCATGAAAGCAGCTTCCCATCCCTCGTGTTTGAACATCTGAAATGAGGAAAAGGAATGTGGATGTCTGAATTCACACACGCCCATGTCCCAGCGGAGCCAGATGTTGAATGCTTTTGACACTTGATCCTATTTGAAGTGCACTGGGAGCAGTTTGTGTTGATTCAGGCCGTTTTAGACGATCCACCAGGACCAGATGTGTGTTTGGCATCAGGTGACCTGCTCCACAACATCTCCATGGGAACAGCTCTGCAGGATATCAGTAAACTTCAAACACAAAATGGATGAAGTCTGGTGTGTTTAAACTTCCTGGGGTCTTTTCTTCTATTATAAAACTTTAAAGAATCATGTTTGAAGTGTTACTGTTTAGAACCACGCCAGCTGTGACATCAGGGCTCCAAGTGTGGAACAACAGGCAAAAGTCTTCATCCAGGCTATACGGCTAGCCAATGACCCACTGTTTGTTGTTTTTCAGGTTTTTGAAACATGTTTGTCTAAAAACGAATATTACATAAGCGAATATTAAACTTTACACTGATAAATGACACCAATTACTTAGTTTGTTGCCGTTTTCTAAACCAAGCAGCTTCTGTGTATAGATAAATTAAAAGAGATTCCCAAAGCAACCAGGTGTAAGCTTTGTCATTTTTATTACAAAGCTTTGGAGAACCAGCAACCACAGAAGATCAACACATTTACAAGTACAACTTATCAATGCTTTCACCTGTCGGAGGTTCTGACCTGTTCTCACTTCCTGAACAGAAAAAATCATTTTTTTTTTTTTTTACTTTCAGCTGCCAACCCCCCAGACCCTCCCCAGTCTGTCCAGCTTATCAGAACCCAGCTCCAGTCAGAAGTGGGAGGGAATCTGGAAGAAACACGTCACTGTAATCATATCGGTCAGACATTGAGGATAAAATAATGTTTTCTTTCTCTCTCGCTCATATATATATATATATATATATATATATATATATATATATATATATATATATATATATATATATTAAAGAATGTGCCGATCAGCTCTACAAGGTGCTGGCAGACATCTTTAACTACTCACTTACCCTAGCAATGGTTTCCCACCTGCTTGAAGACCACCACCATCATCCCAGTTCCAAAAAGCTCTACAGTGACTGGTCTGAATGACTGATAGTCGCTAAATGCTTCGAAAAACTGGTCATGACCCACATCAAAACAACCATCAACATCAATGAGGACCCTCACCAGTACACATACCGTGAGAACCGATCAGCAGAGGACACATCTCCTCTGTGGTCCATGCTGCTCTCACCCACCTGGAGCAGAAGGACTCTTACATCCGTGTGCTCTTTGTGGACTTCACATCTGCCTTCAACACCATGATCCCCCAAACCCTGATGGACAAACTACTCCAGGACTAAGCTCCTCCATTTGCAACTGGGTATTAGCCTTAACAAACAGACCTCAGTATGTGAGGATCCACAACTTCTCCTCCTCCACCATAACCCTCAGCACTGGCTCTCCTCAGGGATGTGTGTTGAGCCCTCTCCTGTTTACTCTGCTCATGTATGATTGTGCAGCTACCCATCCAGGCTGTCACATTGTAAAGTTTGCAGATGACACAGTGGTGGTGGGATGCATCACAAACAATGATGA